CGCTCCGTACTACCATGATTTTGGGCCAATAACCCTCAGTACGGCCCTCGCACTTGGTTAATAAAAAAATATTCTTTGCGGAAACTGCTTATTTGTCTTCCTTTGCACAGCTTCTGTAATTAAGAAGGCTGACGCATTAAATCTCTGTAAGCAAACCACAAATTTAAAGAAAATCCGGAACGTGCCGCGCCATTTTGGCAGTTTGACTAGAGCGGCGCCTCGCGACATTTTGGAAATCTTCCTCGAAATGATAATTTTTAACAACGAAAACCTGAAAAAAGGGTTAGCTGTTCTAAAAAATGCATTATTAATTCTGCAATAAGGCCTACGCATTTTTCCTTTAGCATGACTGGATAACTCCTCTAGAATGTATGGTAGTTTTCTTACCCTCTCCTACATCCAAAGCCTAAAATACAGTGATGCCCGGAACAGGTGATCTAGTCTGACTGTTGGAAGGTGTGTTAAGAATTGGCGCTCGATCTAAATTAACTCTATCTCGGCCTCAACATTGGTAATGCTGACAGTCTTAAGGTGTTCAAAAATAACTGTATGGCACGACATTAGCTGAAATAGTATTAGCTGAAGTATTACAAGAATTATCTTTTTCTCGACTTAGTTGTTTTAATTTGCGAGCATTTTCCAGCCCAACCAATTTCCGTGAGTTTTGTAACTAAAACTCTCAATTTGGGAAGAACGTTCTAAACTCAGCTAAGATTATTTGTTTGTAGTTGTGATTTCAAATGGCACGTTGTTTATTATACATTTATCCTCAGGTCTAGTTCACCCAATCGATTTCATTCTGTTTCCAGCTCCATACTTAGTATTCTCCTATTTCAATCATTTTGTATTTTGCCTCTATTTCGCCTTTACTCTGACTTTGGATCTTTCCCTAATCTTTTTTCTAGAGCTATTTGTTGTTTTGTACAATGAAATATATGAAGTTCATATATTTTGAACTGCGGTATTAGATACGTATGATGCACGATCCTCGCAGTAGATAGCGCTATTTAAGCAATAGCGAAAATCAGACCTGAAAAAATCAGGCCTGTACGGGATTCGAACCACTGACCTCTGCGATACTAGTGCAGCGCTCTACCAATTGAGCTAACAAGCCAACTGGGAGCAGGCCGTTAAGTTGATTCGTAATAAACCCGTGAAAGTGATAAATCAGATACAATGAAATATATGAAGTTCATATATTTTGAACTGCGGTATTAGATACGTATGATGCACGATCCTCGCAGTAGATAGCGCTATTTAAGCAATAGCGAAAATCAGACCTGAAAAAATCAGGCCTGTACGGGATTCGAACCACTGACCTCTGCGATACTAGTGCAGCGCTCTACCAATTGAGCTAACAAGCCAACTGGGAGCAGGCCGTTAAGTTGATTCGTAATAAACCCGTGAAAGTGATAAATCAGATACAATGAAATATATGAAGTTCATATATTTTGAACTGCGGTATTAGATACGTATGATGCACGATCCTCGCAGTAGATAGCGCTATTTAAGCAATAGCGAAAATCAGACCTGAAAAAATCAGGCCTGTACGGGATTCGAACCACTGACCTCTGCGATACTAGTGCAGCGCTCTACCAATTGAGCTAACAAGCCAACTGGGAGCAGGCCGTTAAGTTGATTCGTAATAAACCCGTGAAAGTGATAAAT